TGACAAAACCATCATCAGGCAGGCGCTGAGAGTGGGAGTACATGTAGAGTTGGTGTACACACGTATAGATTCCTCTACCCTTTCCGGTAATGCCCCTCTTTTTCCCCGACCGAGGACAAATGGAGAATGAATGGAGAAGCAAAGAGTGTACACAGCACTCCATGGGAAGAACATTGGCCTGCTGCAGGTCGGCCGGACAAACGAGGGAAAGAATGGTGATAGATAGCTCATATCTTGGGGATGGAATGTTAATGAGAGATGATGGAAGGGGAAGGGGGGGTCAGACGGTGGGTGGGTGTGCATTCACTGGCCAGGGGAGTGGACCGCCACCAGGCTTACTGCAGGAAGCCCGAGTGGATTATGAAATATTATCTTTGATCAAACATAGGAAGTGGGCAATCCAGCACGTGGAGGAAAGGCCCGTTTGCTGATGAGAGGCGGCTGACGGAACCACAAGCCACGTGCAACTGAGGGGGGGGGTGGTTCATAGCAGAATAAAGCTGTCAGCGAGTGGGAGCAAAAGCCCAGGTCAGGGGCCTGCTTACGCAGGTCCCAAGGAATCGATCAACAAACTCCTTTGAAAAAAAAAAAAATTTCCACCCATCACGCGTGCAAGGGGTACCGGGGAGACTGCTGGAAGTTTACCCGTCATGCTACGCGGAAATTTGAAGTGTAATTACATCAGTTTGTAGGGATACGTTTACCTGGCTGAAAGCCCTCAAGTGGCCCACTCTCCAATCTGAACGACTCATGAGGCCGGGGGCTGGGCGCACCGTATACGGTCGTCGGGCACTCGTGCCATTGTTGGAGGGGAAGTCGTTGAGCGGCCGGGCGCAGGGCCCGGCCAGTGCCAGCATCTTTCACCCAACCCCCCCCCCCGCACCATCTCTGATGGATTGCGGGGGACCCTCACCGACGGATCTCCCCAAGCATGGAAGATGATGACTAAATGAGGCACTCAATGAGGCTAGGCCTAATGGATCAAGACGGGGGTCCCCCCGGCCGGAAGTCGGGCCCTTCCACGGCCAAGCAGGGGGAAACACGCCACAATGGGCCACACGCAAGTGCCAATTTGTTTATCTTGTTCCCCTTAGGCGACGCATAATATCGGATGAAAACTCCTGCCCACTTCAGCCGGGAAACTTGAACCTTCATTTTGTTCCCCGTCTTGCCTCTTTCTGGAATATTCCCTTGTCATCTCTGTCTCTCATTTTTCTTGTCTCTCTCAGTTCTTCACGGTTCCTGGCGGGGGTTATGATAATGCAGGAATCACTGCGAATATTTTTTTTTCCTCCGCGGTCTCCTCTTCTTTTCTGTCATCATTCTGGCTCAAATTGCTGCGTCAACAATCAGCCAATTGGCGTACATGTCAGGCCTTCCTGCTCTCTTCTCCGCACTGTCGTGCACCCACACACCAGAATAATGCTCCATGCCTAATAGGAAAGTAAGTGAAGGCACTCCATAATGGGGAAATGGACCCTCCAAAGGTCAAGACAATTCTTCTCCATCATTAAGGAGTACTCCAGTCCAGGAGAAACTGGAGAGACACATTCTGCTCATGGATCATATATTGCTGTCAGTTGAGTATAAAACAGTACTAACTACATGCAGTATGAACAGGGCAGATATGGCAATCAGTGTGGTGCCATCTTGCTTACCACTGACATATACATGTACTGTACATGTACATGAGGCCGTTTGTTTCCCTTTGAAGTGTGCAGCTTTCTACATGGTCTCTCCAGCTTTTGTACGCAGGCATTCTGGGCACTTACAAAAGAAAGAATTCTTCTATCTGCAAGTACATTTTGTTTATAAAACCCCAATATTTTCAAAATCTTAAGGAAAAAATTCAATTCAACTTTCTATTTTCTTTCCAAAAATAGCTCTGCCAAGTGCCCTGAAACGTACCTGACACCCTCTCCTTTACAAGCACATAAGGGACTCGGGTCCGACCCAGAACAAATGACAATTTCTGTGCGCAATCTTCATGGTCTCTCTGTGACCTGAGGCTACATTTTGTGGCATTTTACACAATCATAAGAGGAAAGGAAATAAAAACAGGTGCCAAAACGTTATCCTTTCCACCTACATGTACCTTAAAAGCAATGTCCGGTGGACACAGCCTCCCATCCCTCCCACACCTGCCAGTGCAATGACGGCTTATTAACTGGTACATGCCATAAAAAACATACTATGGTATTTCTCTCCAAGGTCTCATAATTACATGTACTTTTCCTAAAGTACATCCCTTTTTTTGTCACATGGTGTGTGTAACGGTCCATATATCTTTGCAAACGGACTAGATTTCAATTTTGTTCATAATGTGCTGAGATGAATAAACTGAAATAAAGTCAAAAGACTTCTTCAAGCTTCAGAAAACACTGCTCAAGTTTCAGACGAGCCCTTTCCTCTTGTAAACACTTACACAAACATGTAACATGCTGGTAAGAAGGTCAAGGAGAGAGGTATTCAGGGGGGGGCATTTCATTCTCAAAATAAGAAAAAAATCTCCAGACTAAGAACAAAACCAAAGGTCACAGCTTCTTGAGGAACTAACAAATTACCAACAAATGGAGCATTACATGTCTAATAAGCATCCAATGCAAGAAAAATCCAGGTAGAAAATGCTGGTATTAATTATTGATTGTTACAGTAGCCTGTTTTGTACTGACACAAGTCAAATGAAAGGGTCAAACGAGGACAATGATTTTCTACCTGTAAACCTACATTGTATCCAGGTACTACGTCTCCATGACCTGGGCCGGGTTCAACCCTTTCGCAAACTGCAGTCACGGGGTTGCTGTCCAGGCAACATTTGACTATTCTTGTGGTGTCATTTGACCCACCTAGTTATACTAATTTACTGGAGACCCTCAGTAACATTTCCAATGATTCAACGATGGAATTTCCAACTTGCCGTGGTTAGATTGAGTGGACATTGGGACATGGTTATACAAACTGATTATACGGTCGTTAATCAGAGATAAACCAAGAAGTGGGCTATTCACTTTCTAGCTTAAACATTTTTAGGTACATGTGCATGTACATGTATGTAGGAAACGTTAACATTCATGTACAGAATGATGCAAATAATTTGTCTAAACTTTTAAGGACGAATATTGCAAAATACTTAAGAACTGACTATTGCTTAAGGCCATCTTTGATCAATATGTCTAGGACTTTCCTCACACATTCTTAACTGAGGTTTTCTTCAATTTTTCTGTTTTCCTAGATGTATTTCAAATAATCTCCGCACTGTCTTACCGACAGGGAATGATCACATTATCTTCATAATACAGCTGGCAGAAAAAGGCAATCACAACAACTTATAATTGAAAACAAAACTGTTTTGCACTTGTGAAAGAAAGGTGATCCAGAACATTTTCACATTCAAATGTTATGTTGCCAGATATGTTCGTACATTAACAAAAACAAGACCAAAAAAAAAAAAAGGCAAGGGCTTTTGTTTTGTTCAAAATTCTACTCCTCTGCATGGGTTCACTCGCTCCAATGAGTGCAAATTAAAAAAGGGGGGGCCAAAAAGCCATCAAAGTAAAAAAAAGTTCAGACTCTCCAAACAAATTAGCTCTCTTCAGTTTAGTTTCAAAGTATGTTTCATTTCCTACAGTTGGCAATTCCCTCATGTAATGAAAAGCCTACCAGCAGATTTAAACTCTTCCATGGATGTGCACTTGCACTTTTGTCTCAAATGTTAAAAAAATTCCAATGTACATATACAAAAAGAACAGGCCATTTATGATCAATCATGTAGTCAAGCACACATTTATTAACAAGCCATTGAAAGAGGCTGGTCCTCCATGAATTCATGTCCTCACAGAGACTGTCTACATTACTCAACCCGCACTTGTTCTCAAATTCCATATTGGCCTGTCAAAAATCACCCAGTAAATATGAGCGATGCATTATTTATTAGAGTGTGCCTGATGAAGAAAGACAAACCCTCTTCCCACCCTTTTCACAAAGCTTTAGGAGTCAGTTTCCAGTGCAACTCAGTTCAGTTTTCAGGGCAACCAGCAAGTTTTTCCAAAGCCCCGTGGCAGTCCACATGTATCAAAACTGCAACAAATATTACAGGCATGGACTCATTAACATCATCTGGACTGTGGTGCTGTGTTTGTGTTCGCAAGCACTGTTTCAGTATTCTGACACAATATTGAAACAAAGGTTGTCAAGTACGAATTAACCACAGGCAGGGGTGAGATTGACCAGTGATAAAAACTAGCTGAAAACAGCTGAAAAAAGGCATAAGGAAGTTGAACTGAGGAAAATCTCCTGTACTTTTGTACACAGCCAGTGAAGATAAAAAGCTGAAATCCAAAACAAAAAAGCTGAAATCAGCTAAAAAGCTGAGAAATCTCACTCCCAGGACAAAAAAGACCAGAACAAAAGAGTGCACATCGAATTTGATGGTATCAGCACAACACACATGAACTTACCCAGTAAAGATATACACATGTATTTATGAAAAGAGAGAAAATAAACTACAAAGCGCATGGTACAATAAACCAACAGCACTGTCTGAGTGGTACAATGCATAAAGTAACGGTGACTGTCTTCTAAAACCATCAAAACGATGCCAAATCTGGTGCTTCATTGAATTTCTGGTCAAGTACATGTACATGTAGGGAGTAGCATACCAGTAGGGGTGGGGAGATAACTTGTCCATCCCTCCCCTCCCCAGGGGACCTGTTGCAAATTTCCTTTTTCGTTAGGAATTTTATTGAAAACAACAACATATCATACACGTAAATGGTACTAACTTCGTTTCAGAAAAAAATTCCCGGTTTGCCACACAAGACTCAAAGCTTGGATACAGAAGGTTTGCATGGGAGCCATCTCGCACTGTAATTCTTTTGTTCCGCGGGAAAACCCCCTTTATACACATCCTGTGGAACAAAAGCACTGGCCTGCATGATGGCTGCCACTCAAATCCTCTATACATATGCTACTGCAAAGAATGAAACCTGGGCCCAGCCTACCTGGTGATAGCCTCCACTGCGTCCATACTGCGGCTGATGATGCTGTTGTTGCTGCTGTTGTCTGTACCTGGCCTGATTCTGCTGGTAGGCCGACTGCTGGCCCTGAATGCTACGAGACCATCCAGTCCCTCCGTAACCACTGCAGGTGAAAGAGAATCAACAGAAGTTAGAGTGGGGTGCTACAGTCGCACACAATCACACCTGTGCAGGCGTGGCATACATTGTGTGGACCCATGCACAAAAGAAGTCCACGTAATGCAGGGTACGATGGCATTGCGTGAACTCGCACATGTCCACACAATGCTTCCCCTCTCTGAAAAACAGCTCCAGAGGCATTTTGGGGTCAAGGTTATCTGCGGTAAAATGAAGAGAAACAGTCCAGGAAATCATCATCAAAAATCCAGCACAAAGGAGTTATCCTAGTGGGAGAAAAAGGAGCATTTTTCCCTAGTTTTCTTCACCAAAGGAGAACAAAAGGAATGTCCACACTTTGTATGTGAAATAGGTATCGCTGTACATGTACACCGAGTTGAATAGCCCAATGGTGCAACCTATTATCAGAGTCAGGAAATGAAGACGTTACACAACATTTTAACAGAATACTATTTGATTTGTAAAATTACATTGCCGAGGGTTAAAACCAGGCCATTATGCACAAATTTGCAGTTTGTTGTACTGTAGTGTTTACTAGAGCATTTGATTGGGAGACCCATGGAGTTGTTATTACCAGCTAATCAACCTCGGGGTCTGGAAGTCAATTACTCACACACTCTGTAGCTTTCTCTTAGCTGTATCCAGTGCACAGAATTTACTGGGCTCATCTCATCTTCTCAACAAATATCCTGCAGTGTTTCACAGTGAACTAAACTAGGTCCTATTTCTGGATTTCTTTTTTTTGGGGGGGGGAGCAGTTTTACAGTGATGAATAATGGTCAAATGTGACCACTGTCCACACTAAGGCTTTTAACAAGGAGAAAATAATACTGAAATCTTTGGAAAGTTAGCTGAGCTGTTAGTATGGTGACTCATGGGGGAGGGGCACTTTACGTGACCTTAATTTATCCGAATGTTGTGTTTTCTTTTCATTGTAAGATGCAATGTTGTTTTCCTTTATTATCTGGGAACAATGCCAATTACACTTCCAAAAGGGGAACAATGCCCTAGAAACTAGCTGAATACACTCAGCACCATGGTGACACATGTAAAGCACATGGTGTCCCTGTGCAGCAAGATCTTGTGCTGGGGGACAGATGTCTGGGGCCACTTTTACCGACTCACTGTCTGCACTAGACCTATCGTCCCAGCCTCTCAGGACAGGTGACATGTATCTGGTCAGTTTTCCTGGGCAGCAGTTGGTCAGTAAAGCTACCGGTAGCTCCTGGACTCAGGAAGAGTAACTGAGAGGAAAAAGTTATGTCTCAGGCTGTCTGTGCGGGACTTCAAGTAAGAGAAATAGCCATTGTCTCGGTAAGCTTTACCGCAAAAAAAAGTCCAGTGCGGACAGGGCTTAAAATATGCATGTCAGGCGTGGCACATATCTATCACCCGACAGCAATGTCTGATTATAGAGAATCCAAAACGGGCATGCTGCAGGCCTATGCTCTTGGTTCTCAAAATACGTTATGCTCCGATGCTCAGGAATCTTTCCAAGTAATATCAACAGTTCAACACCAATGACACATCTTACTGTGTAAGTCGGGGGGGGGGGATTGGCTTTGATGGACACTGTACTGTGCTTACAGATTAGCCAATACAGCTAAGTCTTCTATAGTCCAACCACACATCACTACTGAGAGACACGTTGGTGATCCGTGACGAAAGGATAACACAAATCTTGAATGGAAAGACACAAGTGTGTTTTAATGTTATAAACACGGTTTAATATATAAATGTTTTATGATGTATTCACTGCATATTTTTCAAATGGACACTGAAATGTTTTTTCTTTGGCTCTTTGGCGTCACAAGTTTTTGATCCCTAAATGTGAAATAATAAATTAGTAATATAAGCTGCTAAGCCACAACACGGTGCGTGTACCGGTACCATACCACAATAATAGTTATGGGAACTACACACATGTTTGTAGAAATGAAGTCTGGTGCCCACAACTACCAGAAGGTTCCAAATTTCCCAACAAAAGAAACAGTCCCACCTACTGCTGGGCCTGCCAGGGCTAGGTACAGGTACATGTACATTACGGCAGGTACTTCCACTTTGTACATTTCAGGGGAACTCAAAGATTAAACATGCAACATACATGTACATACATGCACAGGTATAAGCTGATAAGTACATGTACATGTAGACCTGCTCCTACATGAACCTGGTACATCCAATATCAGCACTGTAACCTTCCTTAATATGTGAAATAACATTTACAACATGTTCAGGCATTTTAAAGCGGGGTCTAACATTTTAATTACTGTACATATCAAGTATACAAATAAGTTACATGAAGATATCAGGGTGATATCAGCTTGAACAAACATGTTTCAGATAGGATGGTTTTGAAACAGGAACGTCTGCTCACAAAAAAATACATGGGGTGGGGGGGTTGTTATTCACTTGCTGGATGCACACAGTTGCCTAATCAAACATACCTTTCCTGGAAAGTGAGAGGTTGGATCCTTTCAACAGAGGGTCTGTAAAGCAGTGTTCCCATTGGACTTTTTCTTCCGCGAGACATTCCTTTGTGTCAATCTACTGCGCATTCCCATGTGAACGTTTTTACCATAACAGAATGTTTATTCGCTGTGTTAGGCCTAATGACAACAGCTGATTATGTTGCCTGCGCTGTACAGATTATGAAGAAATTGGCAAAATCTGACAAAAACAAAGACAAAATCAGACGAATTCGGCCAAATCTGCCACAAAGAAGACGAACCCAAACAGAAAAAGCCCCGTACACAATGTGTCATAGCCATGGTATACAGGTAGCTTTATCCGGACACGCTTCACCGTTTATGGGTGGCATGCTGCTATAATGTATGCATGGAGCTGGAGACTGGGAACCATACAACCATTTTCATGTGCCTGCTATCGATCTGTGTGTAGGAAGTAGTAGTCTGGCATGTCTGGTGCGTATGTTCAGCATGGTCGTAGTCAATCTACATTGTATGGGAACTGGCCCATAGGACTTTTTTGCACCCCTGCTAACTTACCGTGGCTGCGCTGAAATCTTCCATGACCCCTTTAAGCCTGCTAGTTTTACATAACGATCGCGGTAAGTTGACAGGGACATCATGCGTTCCCATTGGACTTAATTTTGTAATTCTACAGGAAAGTCGCTGTAACTTAACCAAAAAACGGCCAATGGGAACGCTGCTCAGGCAGTCCTGTTTCAACCAGGAAATGCATGAATGACAAGAAATTACAAGCTTAATGGAATTTAAATACATGTAGCAACATGAACCAATGTACACCATGACAATGGAATCACAGAACAAAGTTTACAAAGCTGTGGATGATCTGCTTTTCAACTTCAACGGCTTTACATCAGTTGTGAACCACATTATAATTGGACGTTGTGTTGCATAAATTAGCATAATTTGGCCAAACTTCTTTCCACTCCAAGCCCTGCAGCCAAGCTCTACGACCAAAAGGAGATAAGGCCGAAATGGTTGCTTACCAAAGCAAAGCTACTGCAGTCACACACAGGAAACGGTACAGGGTAAATCCAACAAAAGACGGACGGCGTCCGTTTTGGACCCGACCACCAAGCAAACTGCGACAAGCCTGACAAAAACCTCGCCAGAGGTACAGAGCAAAGAGAGAATCGCTGGCATGCACGTATTTATATAACACAACCCCCCGCTCGCAGCCAGCCTACTACCACTCTACCTAGCACTGGAGATGGCAGTTGAGTGTGTAAAGACCCGAGCCATCGAGGCCCTGAACCACAGCCTTCCCACCCCCCTTGAATTTGGTCAGAAGTGTAGCACAAGTACCATTACCACAGCCAGGCTCGGGCCTGCGCCTGGTCTGTGGAGACACCTTCTCTTTCCTCTCCTCTTCCCTACCGAGCACACACCGGGTAAATCCTGTTACATCCCCATGGCCAAACTTTGCTGGCGGCATCGGACAAGAGCCCAATCTGAGAACGTGGGATGAGGTCTACGAGTATGACAACCATCCAAGTGGGGCTGAGTATTTTCTCTCCTCTTGTCGGTTTCGTTCTCCCTGCTTTTTTTTTTTTCTCCCTTCCCTCCCCTGCCCTCTCTCACTCCCTCTCTGTCAGTCTCTCCTATTTCTCTTGTCTTTGAGAGGACCATCTTGAGCTAAGTCAGACCTGGCCATCAAGACTGAACCAGAAGGGTACTTGTGGACAGCCTACTTGATTTGTCACGGGTCTAGCTTGGGTATTGGCACGACGTTATCCATTCAGACATGCACAGAATGCACTTGAGGCTTCACAAGTCAATCACTCCTCCCCTCCCTCAAAATAGCTCAGTCAATCCTGTAAAGGTCTGGTTAAAAATGTATGCTGATAAAAATCATACTTGTGTACTGAATACAGCCCAGCAAGGTTAAAGAGCATTGCGGTACATTGTCAGTGTATGCAAGTTCACACTGCATTTGGTGTGGGCTTACCAATATACTGCATTGGTTTTCCTCTGCAAATCCAGCACCAGAGGCTGGCCTCTTGATAAAAACAGATCCACGACCAAATTTTCAAGGGGGGCCAAACTTGTTATTAAAATTTCATGTACCCGTTTATGGCCTTTATGAGGAGTGAGGCTACATTTGAGGCTTTTTACTAGCATTTTGAGGGGGGATCAAAAATGCCAAAGAATTTGCCTGTCACCATACATGTATTTTTCAAATTTAAGTTTTTATGTGGCTCATTTTGGGGGGGTCATTGAGCAACTCAGACAGCTGAAGATGCGGAACCCTGCCCGCAACATTTAATGCAAATGAGAACTAAACTCCCCCCCCTACATGTATGTTACAAGAACACTGGACTGAAACTAATTCAAATAAATGTCTGTTTACTCAAAACCACAAAACAGCAATGTAAGAGTGTAGGCAACAGTAGATGCAGTCAACCCTAACACTCCAAATAAATGTACCCATGTGGCACACTCGCCTGTAAGAATAAACAGCATACAATGCAAACGGAGGAACATAAGCCAATATGCCCGGCAGCAAACAGAATAATGTTGAACTTTCATCTTTAAAAGAAGAAAACATTTTTAATGGGAATGCCCTCATAATTCCTACTTGTTTCAAGTATGTATTGTAAGCCGACAGAATTGTGCAAGCGTTCTGAGTGCTGGCTCAAAAAAAACACCGACCAAAAGTTGCAGACAAAGGCAAAGGCAGATGAAATGTGGCTCTATGCCAGGGACAGGGCACACACAAAGAGGAATACTCTTGCCATCTGGAAAGGATACAATTTTTGTCTGCCTGACACTTTCTGGCGGCAGCGTGATAAGGAGAAACAGCCGGATTGCAAAGGGAAGTCCCTCCTTGTGCGGCCTTGTTTATTTCCATTTGGCAGGACACCTGGCTCCACTCAGGTGAATACGTCCTCAGAAAAATGGTAACAAATCAGGTGGATGAAAGAGAAAAAAAGGTATCAAAAGGGAGGGGAAAAATGACAAAGGTGAGGGGGAAAGGAGAGGAAATCAGTGCAAAATCCACTTCACGTCTCCAGAGAAGGGACTGAGGTGTCAGCTGAGAGGTGCTTCAATACCAACAAGGAGGGCGGAAAGCAAGGACTTAATTGGGCTGGTCACGGGTGGCTTTTGTGCAGCTAATTGAGGAAGGGGGTTGAGGGGTCTCAGAGCCTGGTCCTTAGGACAGGGTCCGTCCATCGGAGTAACTCATCCATCTGGTGGGATGAGGATTAGGAAGGGATTAAAGTGGGATTGAGAATGGGACTCAGAGAGGTGGACTTAGGTTGTGGGCGACTTTGTCGGATAAAGCCTTTGTGCCACTTGACGACAGTCAAACTTTGACAACCGCATTAACTTAGATGTTACAGTTCACTTTGCCAACTTATTCAATGACTTCCGCACACTTTTGACAAAAACAGTAAACTTTAAATGGGGATTGAGAAGAACAATTGCTGCAAAGAGTACGAAAAAAATGACTGAATAGGCCCTTCAACTACTGATCTTTTAACCTAAACTTTACAGTCACAAGTACAAAACAAAATGTAAATGCCAATGTGTCCCCTTCTTCTACATACAAAAACATTCCTTCAAACATTGAAACATTATTCAACACCAAGTTTGTATAAATCTAAATTTTCCCTCAAAAAAGTACAAAAAAGGGCAAAAAATACACAAACAAAGATGTAAAGGTGCAACACAGAGTAAACAAAAATTCTCATTTTAGTGTCTCAAAACTTGAAAAGACCTGCATCCAACTTCCTTATCTGACCAGGTATTCCCTAGAAGACTTGTGAGATAATTTGATCTCGACAACTCATGAAACACATGATCTGCACTGACATGACTGACAGAGCACGCAGCACGCTGGACTTGCACTGGGCATCGGACTCTGCCCAGCTGCGTTTTGAGCTTTAAAATATCTGCATGTATAACCTGGAGGCTGCCATAGCAACAATCAAGTCAAGCAACAACAAAAAAGGACTATGACCGAGAAGAGACCAAATGTCGTCCCTGACACATGTACCTCAGCATCAACTAATTTTCCAAATACTATGTGCAAATGGATCCTACTTAAGGCCATCTTTTCAATTCGTTTCAAATTGTGCTGTAGCAGAGAGATCTTCATTTTAATGTATCATTCAATCTGGCAACTTAACCCAAACAGTCCTCAGTCCTCTGATAGGTGAAGGATTGAGGACTGTTAGGGTTAATAAAATGGACACTATATGGGTACAAACTACTATTAAAGGATCATATTGGTTGACATTGCACAAGATTCCTTCAAAGTCTTTATGACCTACAAGTGGCCATGGTAACCGGAGACTCATTTGTTTTAAGTCGGAAACACATTAAGCAAAATTTCAGAATTTTGGGGACAAATCTGCCTTTAAATCAAAACCAGATGTTGCGCGTCATTTTGCACATGTGCATGACGACCCTCCCCACTGATCTAACTCATTCTGGTCTCGTGAAACCATCCCCCCCCCAAGTTACAAGTTGGGGATGTCCCATACACTTGAATGGTTTACAAGAAACAGCTCTCTTGTTTGGTGGTCACCCTACGCCTATTCAGATGTGCCATAATCAGGGATCAATGGAGGATAATCCTTACAAATAGCCACCAGATTTTTTTTCTCAAACTCCTTGATTAATAACTAAGTACATGTACATGTAGGTGACTTCACAGCCTACCAACCCAAGTATTTTAGTGGCATTTGCAGAAATGTTAACTCTCACATTTTCTTATGCAGGGAAAACGGCTCTTGTACAAAATTAACCAATTTCAAAGGTATGATGATACCTCATGGAAACTTACTTGAGTGGGAGATCATAATTTTTTTTGGGGGGGTTGTACTTCTGAAGTGGAAGGATTGCATCTTGGTACCAAATACTGATTTTATTTAAGTAAGCATCAAAGGGCTGGCAGCCAAGGAGAAAAGGTTTTACAGACACTCAATGTACTGGTGAGGCTTGAAGCTCTCACAAAATGGTTTGAAGATGGCCCGCAATAAGGGACAAATGTGGAAGCAGAGTTACTTCTGAAGTAGGCTTCTAGCTTTACAAGCAGTAATGTGAGGATCTCCACTATTGGCCAACAGGTATTCTATCTATGCTTCAAAGGACTTTAATCTCATCAATTTATTTCTTAATTGTGAAGGACAGTATAAAAACATAGATCTTGCACAAAACTTCACTTTCAGGACATAACTTTCCCAGAGTTGCCCTCCACCCTGTAACAAAGCTTGGTAGTAATACACACCGACAACGCAGAGCTCTGCAAAATTTAAACTGCTCAGCACAAACTGCAAGTTATAATTCTGGGTCACAACACATTCACATGACATAAGCACTTGACTTTGCAAAGACTGTGTGAGCGTACCTTTGTGACTGTCCCTGGTGCCCACTGTAACCCACATTGTTGTTGCCCTGTCTGCTCTGGTAGGAGTTTCCTCGGTAACCTACAGAATGAACAAAGGATAGGGTACATGCAGGTGTCATGCTAACTGATTCAAACGTGAACGAGTGAACTTAAAATAATGCACATTGCACCACAATATCAGACTGAAGCAGGTTTAGTCAGTATAATTACACAATAACAGTGGTTATAATTGGACCCAATGGGCAGGGATAAAAATAATGGAAAGTGCTTTGATCTTATTATTATTATTTTAATTATTAAACGAAGCATCCTGTTACCGGTACATGTGACTAATAAACTGCACTTAGGTGATGTACACATATCCGTGATCTTTCCCTTTCTTTTCCGGACAGTTCTTTTTCAAACACTGCAGTAGCCAGGCCAATTTCACCTTTCACAAATTGGGAGTTGAATGAAATCAACATTATTTCTATCAAAATAACAACTGTGGGTGACTGACTCTGGAGAAAACAGACTGGATTTGGAATGACTAGGGAGTGACCGTACCACAATCCTGCCAACAGAGAGAGAGAGAAGGGGAGAGAGAGAGAGAGGGGGGGATAGGACTGCAAACAACAAACCCCCAAAATTACCATTCGGATTATGGTAATTACCATTCGGACCCATCTTCCTTCCCACGGTACACAGCAGAGCAGCCTAATTGCAGTGGCCGGCTCCCTGGTAGATGCCACTGAAACATGACCCCAGGGGCCAAGCAGGGGCGAATCCCACCGAGACACTAGCCCCCTCCCCCTCGCATCTGATATAGAATCAGACAGTCCTTTCTCCCATTCCCCTCCCCAAATGAGCAGACACAATGGCAGGTAGCACTCATTAGGAGCATCATGTCAGAGGAACCAGACCGGGGACAGATTATCAGTGGGCTATGGGGAGGAAACAGAGCGCGACCGAAAAGAGTAGTTGAATGCACTATTCAACAAAGGCAACAGAATGCGCCGATTACTGCCAAAAAATAAGGAAGCCGCAAACCAATGAGGATTATTGATGGCTAAAAAGTGCCCCTGATGTTCAAAAAATGCTAAGTCTATTAAAGGCTACTCCTGGGATCGCATTTTTCGCATACTTCTCATTGGGATAAGAATAATTTTGAACCCATTTGGCCTTGTCTGAAGTTTGGACCATTACATTATTACAGATTACATGAAAGATGTCCTGACAATGCTAGATAAAAGACAACATCTTGTTTGCAACAAATGCATACACTTTAGTGAAGTAAACAAAAACAAAGTCACACTTCTCAATATCCCCAACAGCAATTGACAGTGTTCATCTACATGTAGGTTATCTTTAAAGTGAAATAACACCAATTCATGGTAGTTTTTGTTGAGAATAATTTAAAATTTGTGATAAAACATATCTAAATATTTTACGCCAAATAAAAAAAAGTCTGGAACCCAACATAGTCTGGCATCAACTCCTTTAACAGATTGATACTGAATGCGATAAAATCAGGGAACAAAACAAAACATTGCTTCCCCATACTATCCACTGTACATGTGTTTTTATGCATATAACACAACCATTTTCTTAGTACGTCAAACTTTTACAACACCTCAATGACAAGACCCGGTACAGAGTGTAGCCAACTGACTGAATCCATGAGGATGATACAGGCATATTGCTGTTCAACAAGGAATCTGTTTCTTAAGTTTCTCTGGATTCAACCGAAATGCTAAAAATGTAGAATACTGCGAGATTTTGCAAGATTAGGATTATAAGTTGACTTCATTTGTGGAAGGAAGCAATACAAGTAAGCAATAAGATCACCTCAAACTATATGAAGCAGGCCTACAAAACACAAGAGAAGTACAGTCATGCATTATTTGACAAGAGAGAAAGAAACATTGCCCTGTCAATCTTGTGACTGCTGATAAATCCTAAATCAATCAAAGGCAAAAGGAGCCATTTTGTAAAGATGTTCTACCAACAGCTCTCTTAAGTATCAGCAAAGATGATTAATTCTGGAGCTAATTGATTCAGTGGATGGCCCTGGACAAAAAGCTCTTTATGAAGATTGTACAGAAGGGGAACTAAGTGGGGGGTCTTGGGATGCATTAGTTTTAGCAAGAGGGGAGCACTCCTTCAGGAGTCTGCAACAACTGTGGGGGGCAGAATAGGAGGAAAGTTGGAGGTGTTTACCAAGCTCACTATGGCTTAGACCTCCTTGATGAAATGGATAAAGAGAACTGCATGTTGACACGGTCCAGGAGCTCCTCATTTGGGGCTAAAATGGCGACCATCATTACTGGAAGATGATGTCTTCTGGCTCCCACCACCAGCACCACAAAGTAACAGCCAACCTCCCACACAAGTAGCTGCTGCCAAACTGGAGATCGGTACCCTCATCAGAGTCCTCCCCCCCACTGTAGACGCAAAGGCTGTACAGGTACATTGTAGGTGGGCACCGGATATCAATTGGGCTCTCTTCTCTTTCTATTCATGCAATAGCCCAGATGCACATTTAATGAAGTGGCATCTTGGTCAACAGACCAATTATCAGATTAGAGTCATTAGTAGAGTACAGCCCAAAGGCCTCACTGGCAAATCACAATAACCAGCCAAGAAGGCGTCTGCTGATAAAAATTCTTGAATTAATTCTGTTTCCTATAAAATACCAGTTACTCATGTCACAGTTGGTTTTTCAAGTCACAGTTGGTTTAAGGTAACTTAAGGGGACTTACTTAGACATGAAAAAATTAATTGTTTTTCATGTTCCAAGCTTTTCCTTCTCATTTGCACAAAAAATGGAATTAGCAGTGCATACATATGTAAACACCATATTAAAAGAAACTGATATTTCAAGATCTACCCTTTGAATCACGGACTAGCCCTTTCACACCAAAATATGGCAGACTTTAAATTCAATTAAAAACCCTTCCATGCTAAAGGGAAAAAAAGCCACACGTTTTCTATAGATCATACAATTTTGTTTCAGAGAAACCAAGTTTATGTGCATGTACATGTACCTTGCCCAGTGGTTCTCAACAACACTTGAAGTCGGCCCCTTCCATTATTAAAAGAGGTACACTGTGCTTTATACACGTACATGTATGCATAGTGACCTATTCAGTGTTGATGACAGAAACAAGGAAATCTGCAAACAGTTTCTTTCTAACAGGTCTACTAGCAGGCACAGAGCAACTAGAGTTATGGGACGGTGATACATTCACACTACAAATCCTGTCCTCAACCACAAGGAAACAACAGATTGCTTACAATGTCCTTTGTCCATCTCACACTGCAGGACCCTGGCCACTTGTACTGAAACCCCATTTTATTTACGTTTCATTTTCACACGTATGTTCAAAGTTCCTGAAGAAGACGGCCAAGGAGGGCAAAAACTCTTAATACCTACGAACAAGCCCTTTCTAAAAAAGCAAAAAAGGCAGCCTGTGGACACAAAAATCTACTGTCTGTTTTGATGTTTACTTTTTCTTCCCAGTCTTTAAAACCCACTCTGAGCTGTCAATCAATCATCCGGTTTATAGTCGACATTGAAAGCCTACTGCGAGCTTGGCGGAATACAAACCTGCCATCGGTCCACACTTGTTGTTTACTGTTTTGATACATGTACATACTTTCAGAAACAGAGATAACTAAGGTTTGAAGTGTGCGTGGGTGTGCCTGTGTGTGTGGGGGGGGGTGTATGGATGGGGGAGGTTGACTGGTGATAAGGCTCCTGGTCTTGAATTTGTACAAAGGTGGTTTACCACAGGAAAAGTAAACTCCAGGCTGAACGACAATTTGAACAACTACCAAACTGCAATTGACATTCTCGTGGGGATGTCTTTTTTGAGCATTTAGGATGGACATACCAACTGGTCAAATTTCTTGAAGTAATTAGTATTACAAACCAACTTCAATACAGGAACAACAGGGGTGGCATTCATAAGTAATTCCCACAAATTACATACTATTTCCAGGGCACGTCTGAGACATCTTGGTTGGATGCATTCACACAAAATGAAACAGATAATATTGGTTGTCTTCGAGAAAATAGTGTCATTATTACTGACAAGCACTTCCAAAATCTTACCCAATTCACCCCAGCACCAGCTAGGTCATACATGCATGTGAAGGATTTGCAGATTAAATTTGGAAAAACATTTAACCATTTTTTTTGACGGGGGAATGGAGGGCAGAACAAGCACGCCGCATACACTGGATGAATTTTAAATTCAGTAGACTCATCAAACAGGTCTAGCTCAGAAAGCAACATTTGTAATTTCTCCAGCTCACCCAATAAGCCAAGCCAAGCTTTTAAGAAAAATGCTGAAAATAATAAAAAGCCTTGCAAATCAAATTCAAGCAGCAAGAAATGTTCCCACAGCCTTTTTTTTTCAGAGTTTTTTTTTGTTTTTCAAGAGCCCTCATTACTATTCAACACAGACCATCAGCGGTTATTTTTTTCCCCTCGCTGTTGGCTTCACCCGCAGTCTCTGCACATAGTTCTCCCGTTCCATGCCCACTGCAATTTTTTTCCCCTCCGAGTCTCTCTTCCTTCCATGCCCCCGCTCTGGACATTACTTGCGGCACGCATGCATATCGGTGAAACTGTGTCTCTCCTTGAGAGCTGCCAATCACGCAGGCCCACGTTGTTGAGAGCGGGCAACGCGCATTTTCAAGGGCCTCTTATCCTGCGGCCTTCGCGGACGATGTCCCCGAAAAACAGAGCAGGCAGTTATGAAGAGAAGAGGGAGAACGAGCAAGGCAGAGGCAGGGGAAGAAAAAAATACCATGGTAATGGAAAAAAGAAAAGAAAAGAAGACAGAACATAAACAAAGGTATCAGCTGGAAAATAGGCTCAAAATGGCTTGGAATTTCAGAAAACAAAAAGATTGCAAACAGCAAATAAGAACAATGATCTCCTAATAAATGGGATAAATACATGTAAGTCTACAGAACTACAGAAACGCAAGGAAAGTTTGCAGTTGATGAAAACAGCAGCGATAAAAAACATGTTCTCCTGACTCTGAGTTCTTGTGAACAAAGAAAGCATTTTAGATACATGTAGTTTCA